ATTTTACGGTGGAGTTTTTATCCTGGGTTTGGAAGCTCCATCCCACGCTCGATTTAAAAAAAGAAAAAAAAAATCACTCTATACGACTGGTTCAATTATAATTCTTAAAATAAACGGAAGGGTGTTATGCAAAAATCACACATCTCTGTGGTCGACACCGTGTTATCACATTGTAATTAACAGTCAGCCAATGGCGGCTGTCCGACAGGCTGATGGTTCGTTCGACCTTCACAATCCTAGCGCCGCATTTTCTCACGTCGCGTCAGTTTGGCAAGTTGACATTTTTGTGGGAAGACACACTAGCCAACGCGAGTATAAACAGTCTTAGCCAAAAATTCCACGAGGAAGAGGAACCGAAAGCATGTCTTGAAAAAAATGCTTACGAATTCCTGCCTTGTTTTGAACTTTACCTTTTTCACTACCGATCAATTTTCTAAGAAGGAAAACCAACTAAAGTGATATTTCATCAAATAATAATATAAAAAAAAAATCTGAAAGGACATAGCAACCAGGCGAACTGAAATCGAAACAGATTTAACGGAACGAGACAAAAACAAAAATGGAAAGAAAACACAAAAACAAAATCAACATGTAAAACAAAAATGACAGACACAGAAAAGATTTGGAAAATGGCTTTTCATGTGCAAAAATCAAATATCAATGGCCCATAAGGAACCCTGATGATGATGGAATATTAGTTAATAATTCAAATGTATGTGTCGTCGGATTGGACGAAGAAAATGAGAAAGAAGGGCAACAACCAATAAAAAAAAAAAGCAACATAAAAATGGCAAGCAAAACTTTTGACCTTTGACATTGCCCACAAGTCTTAGCCGGAATCCCTGAGTTAGTGCACTGTAGAGGGCGCTATATACACAGCAAGTTGGCTGTGATGTTCATTAGTGGTTTTATTTTTTAAATAGGTGAATGTTCAAGACAACATGTGGACCAAATTTGAGGGTATGCAGCAAGTAATATCAGAGTCATCTGCAAGTAACATAAAACAGAGACTTGCAGAGATTTCTTTTTCAGAATTTCTCAAATAAGTCTGATGTCTCAATGTACAAATTGAGCCTGCATCTCCCAATTCAAGGCCCTTGAATCGCCACTTCTGGAGCCTGAAGCCGAAACTGGAGTCAATGCCATGATTTCGCAAAACCCAACTGGATCTCAGGCCGTGTCCACATTATCTGGATACGGCTTTGAAATTACACGTGTGTCTATGGCAGCGGTTGCAGCCGCTTCACATAGACTCGTGTGTAATTTGAAGCCGCAGCCAAGTAATTCAGACACGGCTCACTTCCAGATGATTAGGCCTATGTGTATAGTGCCCTCTACACATTGTCATGTGACATTAGAATCATATCATGTGACCTAGGATTTGTGGAACGTTTATCAGGTGACCTAAGGAATATAGAAAAACACTATGTACGGTATGTGTCCCTGACTCCCATGGTATTAATTTTTCATGCGTGCGTTGTCGACCTAAACTACTTGCTATACCCGCAACACGCCCAAAATTCATCTAGCCTACACCAGAGTCGGAGTCAAGTCCATCACAAGTCCATCACAAGTCAATCGCAAGTCAATCACAAGTCCATCACAAGTCCATCACAAGTCAATCACAAGTCAATCACAAGTCCATCACAAGTCAATCACAAGTCCATCCCCTGTTGTTAGGGCTGTGCATTGGAACCAAGTACCCGACAGTTAATGTCAGGAACTGGTTCCAGATTATGGAACCGAGTACCCGTAACCAACTTTACAAATTACTTAGTAACTTCTCCGACAATGAACAAAAAAGCTTTTGAATGTCATTTGTGGGGAATGTTCAAAATGAAAACCGGGCCACGTGGTAAAACAAAGAATAATTTCACGTTTACGACGCTCACAAAAGTTGCAGTCGACACCAATACAGCTCACCGCACAGCGTACACACTTGCATCTTGCTGTATTGAAGCACCAATGTACACGTATAGTATTATCGTATGGACCTTTCTGAACAATCTGAACAGCAACTTCCGAGATTTGAATTTTGAGGTTGGGTTTCTTTAACGGGTACCGGGGTACACCCATGTTTTTTTTCAATCGGGTACCAGTTCTGGTTTCTGATACTTGTCACCTGACTTGTCACCTGACTTTCACCTGACTTGTCACCTGACTTTCACCTGACTTGTCACCTGACTTGTCACCTGACTTGCGATTTCCATTTTGTCTTGTGATTTACTTTTGAGAACTTGACAGCAACTCTAGTTTATGGGACAAAAGGCACTGACTTGTGAGAAAAATCTAATAACTACAACACCATGCAAACGTCTGGTTTTTTTTCTCAGCTAAAATTGATAACAACCCTGCCTGCTGTTCAATCTTGTGCGATTTAGACTGTAGTCATAAGTAAATTTCTTTAATAATGTGGTCATGTTGTCAAGTTTTATGACTTATTAGGTGGGAAGTGTTTTTTGTCGTTAAAATTAATTTTAGGTGGATACGGTGTGATTAAATTTTACATTAATCAATTAGTTTGTAAATGTTTAAACTAGAAGACTGAATTAACCTGTGCAGGGTATGCCTGTTTGACTGACGAGCTAAACTTGAGCCCTGGAGGGAATTTTGAATATTTGCATAAATTAGTACATGTAGTTATTTATAGACTGTTTGCACGGCGGCCATGTTTGAGGTGTGCGCTTTTGTTCAAAAGGGATATATGCATGTGTAGACCTCTTTTGCATTCATTGTTAATGAACTAACATAATAAGGATGTGACTTTTCGTTTAATTTGTTAACGTTTAGCGGAGATTGTAAATTCTGTTTAAAGGGAATATACAACATTTGCAAACATCGAAAAATAAACTTACCAAGTTTTTACGAAATACCTTACTAGGATGTTGGTAAATGACAGTTAAAAGCATCCTGTAAAGTTATGGCACCTGGTGTGAAGTCATTTTCAAGAAAATGGTATTTTTGTATACGTTTCTAGCGGTGGTCGGCCGACCACCGTTGGAAAAACCTAACTATTTTGCAACTACTGCTCCAAATTTACCCTTTTTTTCAGTCCAAATGTTGTTTGCTATTGGTTCCATGTTCATGAAGAGGTGCAGACCAGCTAGATTGGTTTCCTTACCTTACAATTTTCCGGCATCTATAAATTGATGCATTTTATCTTAAGTGGAGTCAGGGAACCAGACTACTTGAACATTTTGTTTTTCCTGGTTTTTCCAGCATTTTCGAACAAAAACTTCAAACATATCAGCGTAACAATATTTGATCTATCATAGTTACCCCTCAAATAGTTCATTTCTGAGAATTACAGCAAAAGCCAATGATGTACATTCCCTTTAAACATTTAGCTATTTAACAAAGGCTGATGCCTGACAATCATCAGGCGTGCAACTGAGAAAATAGAAAAAAAAAACGAGGATATTCCAAACCACACATGACTTTGTACAGCATTTTTCAATTTGTAATGGCATTCATGAGAAGTAGAAAACGAGGAGATCAGCGGATCCGAGGAAAAGTTGCATGCAGCCTGCATTATGTCTACAGACTGGCATGATTGACATGGTAAAATCAACAATGGTTGACATAATAAATAGCGGGCAGTCATTAAAAAAAGTAAAAACTGAACTAGTGTACCTCGAATGTGACCGGCACCGCGGTGCTTCTAAGGTTTTGTCAATTGAATGGGTTTGAAAACATTGTTAATTATTTGTGCTAGGTACTGGTACATACATGTATGTTTAACTCAAGACAGTTCGCGCGAACTTAGTGTCGTTTTTTTTTTACAATTCAGGTTTCATTCAGAAAATTTGTCAACAGATTTAGAATATTTTTTTCTTTTTGTTTAAACGTGTAAAAGTCACATTCTTACATACCCCAAAGATGACAGCTACCGGTAAATGCAATCTGTCTATAAGATCATTAATTTTGATTTTTGTAATTTAAATTTCATCTTTTGGGGATGAGTGGTCGAGATTAAAAAAAAAGGATACCTATGGTTAGGATTAGACCTATAATAAAAAAATAGCATACACAAAAAATTGAAACTCCTTCAGTTTTAAATATTTTTTTTCTAATGCCTATAAACCGAAACCCATAAAAGTATTATTTTTTTCAGGAGGACAGGTATTTCAGGGGGGAAACAAGAAACTTACAAAAATATAACTCTGAAAAACAAAACAAAAAATACTGCTTTTATACTGAATGCTGCTTGCATACTGCAAAGAAACAATAAATAATAAATAAAATGCTGGTGGGTTTTTGCAGAAGTGTAACTTCAATTAGTGCGCACAGGAAAAAATGCTTCGAACTTAAAACCAAAATTTGAAATTTGTTTTGGAAGATTGCTCAAATGCTGGAAGTAATTCTGTTGTAACCATGGTAACTAGCTATTTAGTATGCATAGTTTATAAAAGTTTAACCGATTCCGTACAAATTTTTAAACATATTTATATACGTTCCTGCATAGCTAAGATTTTGATCAAGAAAATCAAGCTTTGAAGACGTGTGTGTATCTGTGCAATTATTGACAAAAATCATAATTTTTTTTTTTTTTCAATTTTTTTTTCATTTCAGGATATTTACTTTAAGGAGAGGAAACTTTATAACCCTGGTTGAGATGCCAATGCAATATTTAAACTGGTTTAGCTTAACTTGTTTATCAATAATGTTTGTACTTAACTAGTAAACTTTAACTCAGTTGAAACCTTTAATACTTTAGATGGGACTACTACATTAAACAAAATAATTAATTAATGTCATTTTGTAAATAATGAAATGACACTATTGGTTACTTTATGTTATGGGAAGATATTATGAGCATTTGTATATTTTAATGAAACAAAATATGGTGAACAATTTATAAAACTTTTTCAAGTTGATCTACGTCTTTCATACGAGTGACGCCAGAGCCACTGTGTTTGTCCAGTATTTCGCAAATGGCTATGGCCAGAGGAGTGGTCCCGCTTTTGTTATTATGGTCTTTTTGTTCTACTTATGGGTACCTGAGTCCGCCACGCCGGCTTTGCGGGAGGAGCGCGAGCTTCCGTCGAAGGCGTCGTCATAGTTACCCTTCAGTTTGAAGAGTTGCTTGAAGTGGTGCTTGCAGTACAAAAACTGCTTGGATTGGGCGAAGTTACCCAGGCTGATATTGAAGAAAGATAAAAATGTGCGGTGTCAAAAAATGTATATAAATAAACAAGTGCGAGTGCACAATAAGCTCTGGCCGTCTTGCATGAAAGCCTTGCATGAAATCTATCAAAATGATCCCTGCAAGAGAGCTTAAAAAAATGCAACACCGATGGCACATATGGCGCACCATACTTTAGATTTATACCTAGGTTTATATTGATTCCTGATAAATACCACGTGACTATAACATTACTGGTATTTTGCCTCCATTAACCCTAACCGCCCTGAATCCTCCAAAAACCTTTTTGCAAATTGGACGAATTTGCAGGATTGAGGTTACATGGTAAAAGTGCATTGCTGATTTCGGAGTACGCACTGTGTCAAGGTCTTGGGCCGGACCTTGTGTTGTTTATGCTCAGCCGTGCATAAATTTAGTCCTTGATTATACTTGACAACCTCCATACTGCTCCAGGATGTCATTGCCTCTGCCTCAGCCTATTGACAGTCATAGCCGGAGGATTTTGCAGGATTCAGGCAGTGGTCACCCCTCCGTGGACCATATTCAAGAAATAACGGAGGAATTTGCAGGATTGAGGCTATATGCTATTTTTCCATGGGGCCAATTGGAGGACTTTGCAGGATTGAGGCTACATCCTAGCAAAAAGGCCTAGGGAGTTAGGGTTAACAAACTTTTCATAAACACGTTCCCGAATTGTTACAAACAAGTTTTGTTAAGTATTTCATTTATTTTGTTTGCTTTTTTTAGAAAATTAAACTTTGCTAGAACTTTTATGGGAAACTTTAGTGGACTTATTTTGGTTAAGTTTCCGCGGATCCATCGACCAACCACCAAGTGACATGTAGAAATCCTGCCAGAGCTTCAAAATCAGGGCTTAGGCCAAAAACAAAAATAAGTCGGTCTCTGGTCAGCGCGCACGTCGATTTTAATCATGCGCGTCGATCTTTTTTTTTTCCAAAATGTTCCGCGGTAGCTCCAACAGCGCACCTCCTCATTTTTTTTTACCAAAGAGCACCAAGGAATGGGAAATTGCACCAAGGTAAATGATCGAAAGCACCAAGGCAAATTATGGAGGACACCAATGTACATGAGGACACCAAAAAAGCAAAATAGTACCCCACCTTGTCTGTACAATCCAAGCTTGAAAAAAAAAAAAAAAAAAAAAAAAGCCGCGTGGCCGCGTCAATTCCAGAACTTTGGTCTGACCAGAGACCGAATATTTTTTTTTTTTGGCCTTACCTTAAGTTTACTATAAAAAAAAAGCTACCTAAAACCAATTCACGCAAACTGCCTAATTCTGAAACACTTGAGCCTATGTCGCTATTTTGGCATCATGATAATATAACTATCAAATAGGTTTTATAGGTTTTAGGGGCCGTTTCAATTAATATCTGGGACGAGTTCTGGACAAGTTGCGAACACTGTAGCGGGGACGAGTTGTAGGATTCTGAACAACTTCCCCGCAATCTCCCCACAATAACGTAATCTGGAGCAAATGCCAAGCTTCTTCTGGACAAAGTGACTGATTCTGCCCTCCACTTGTCCAGAACTCGTCCCGGATATGAACTGAGATGGGCCTTTAGATAGGTTTCGCTGTGAGCCCTGGGCTTACCTAAGTAGGGTATTACATTCCGTACAGCGGAAGCACAGCTTGTGATAATTGAAGCCGTCGGCCGTGATCTTTTCCATGGGGTAGACCGTCTTCTGGCAAATCTTGCAACGGTTGTTGGGCGTGGTGATAGTGGGCTGTTTCTGTAATGAGACAAAGAAAACAATTGATTTATTTTAAAATCTAGGCATTCCTGGTTTGGGCCATGGGCATTCCTGGTTGGGCTATGGGCATTCCTGGTTGGGCCATTGGCATTCCTGGTTGGACCATTGGCATTCCTGGTTAGACCATGGGCTTTCTTGATTGGACCACTGACATTCCTGATTGGACATTGGGCAGTCCTGATTGGATGGGAGTTCTGATATTACTTTGGGCATTCCTGATTGGACCATGGGCATTCCTGATTGGACCATGGGCATTCCTGATTGGACCATGGGCATTCCTGATTGGACCATGGGCATTCCTGATTGGACCATGGGCATTCCTGATGGGACAAGTAACAACTGATTGGACCATGGAATTTGTATATTTGGACCAAGAGCATTCCTGATTGGATCATGGGCATTCCTGATCAGACCATGGCCATTCCGGACTATGGGCTTTCCAAATTTGACCACAGGCATTCCTGATTGGACAATGGCATTTGTGGTTGGACCATGGCCACCCCTGATCAGACCATGGCCATTTCTGACTGGACCATGGCCATTCCTGATTGGACCATGGACATTCCAAATTGGACCATGGACATTCCAAATTGGACCACGGTCATTCCAAATTGGACCATGGGCATTCCAGATTGGACCATGGCCATAATCAAACTATGGGCAATCCTGATTGGATCACAGGCATTTCTCATCGGACCATGGGCATTCACTTTCACATTCTTGCTTCGGCCAAGCACAGTGATGCCTAGAAAAGAACGGACTTGCAGTAAGTCTACTTTTCTGACATGGGATTCAACTCTAAAGTAAATGTCCGGATTGGTAGGTAATTTATCATTTCCTAATCGTATTTAGACCTAAATTCCTCAGAGAATTCAGGGATCAGGAACAGATTACTATCACGCTATACGTCTTGACACTGACAGCTCCGTTTACACATCCAGGCAATTTTGAATAAAGTGTGATTTTTTTTCCGGAAGTCTTTCGGCTTTTTGAAATTTACCTTTTCTTTCAGCCCCATCTCCTCAACTATTAACCCTAACCTCCCAAACTCCATCAAAATCCATCCCCCTATTTCGGTGGGACTATTTTTTGGGGACTTGGTCCTGCAGGCCTAGTTTGACTAAATATTGATGGAGTATGATGGACTTGGTCCACGTACATGTATTAAAAGACAGCAGGGAGTTAGGGTCAACAACTCAACAGTTATAATCAATAAAATTTAATTCAACGATATGAAAATGTAATCCTTCCAAAGTCTTCCAAGCTTACAAATAATTGTTCAGCCCTACTTTTAACCCCCTTAATATTTACGGCGAAGTAAAGTAAATTTTGTATACAAAAGAGATTACGGTATTTCAATAATGATGTTTTCAAATCACAGTGCAGGTTTTTCGAATACTTCACATACCATTCAACCTGTGATAAGTTGAGTTTCACTACAATATTTACATAGTAGTTTTAGCAGGTAAAAGATATGGCGAAATACAATGTGAAAAGAAAATATGTACGATACACTTTTTTTTGTATTACTTTGAAGGCAATCACTAGTGCGGTAATTTTTGCAACTTGGTTTATTTTTGTGGATGAACATGTCACACAAGTTGATTAACATGTTGTCCCCGTTACAAGAGCACAACATCTGGCAAATGATCGACCCCCTTCCCTTAAAAAAAGAGAAAATCTGGGCGTTTGTAAACACCAACATTCTTTGTGCACGTTTCTATGGCAATGGGTTATCACACATGTCACAGGAAGTCAGTTCAGCTCAATGCTGGACAAACAAGGCAAAGTTCGTTTGATTGATTATCGGGGAAAAAAAGTACACATCTCTCGACTGGTTATCACAGTCTGCAATGGTTTACTTGCCCAGTGCTTTTAATATACATAGATGTCCATAGATGGATATTTTCATAATTCCGAAACTTGGCTTTTTGCCCCCTGTTTGTGCACAAACTTCACTTAGATATTCTCATGATTCCCCCCACCCCCAATTTAAAAAAAAATATTTCGGGAAAATAGTCTTTTTTCAGACACTGAAAAGGGAACTGTTGATTTGTTGAATATTCCATTTTTTAACCACAATTAAAACTTTTCGAATATAACCTAAACCACAAAAGAACGAAATGGAGAACCACCAACATAGCATGTAGGACTGGATTAGATAGCTCAGTTGGCAGAGCACCGGAACGGCAATCTGGAGTTCGCAGGTTCAAACCCTGCTGCAGTCAATTTCTTTTTTCAATGTACATGTGGCAAAATTACTGGTATAATTGTTAGAAATTATACTCCGTTTACGAACTCCTGGTGATACAAGTTTACTAACAATCAGAGCAAAAAAAATCAGCCTGATCGTGCCATAAATGAAGCAGCGGGCGTGCACCCAATACACATACCATTCTGTAGCTACCGGTATCCGGTATTTGGAGTACAGAACATTTACAATGTACCGGTAGGTCACAAAGCGGTATTTATTTAATCACGTTGGAAACCAGTTACGAATACGAGAGCCCAAAAATTGCAAATGTATTATGGAGCACCAACAGTGGACAACCCAATTTTCCGGGTGAGTTTTACCTGAAAAAAAAAAAAAATCGAATGCGAACATGGCTTTCTAAGTTAGGCCAAAAAAAAAAAGTCTGTCTCTGGTCAGCGCACGCGTCGATTTTAATCTTTTTTTTCTTAAAATTGTCCGCGGTAGCTACAACAGCGCCCTCTATTGCCGCACCTCCTCAAATTTTTGTACCAAGAAATGGGGAAATTGCACCAAGGCAAATCAAGGGGGGCACAAAGGCAAATTATGGAGGACACCATTGTGTATGAGGACATCAAAAAAGCAAAAAAAAATAGTACCCACCTTGACTGTACAATCCAAGCTTGAAAAAAAAAAGCCAAAAAAACAAAACAACAAACGCGTCGCCGCATCAATTCCGGATTTGTGGTCTGACCAGAGACCGATTTTTTTTTTTTTTGGCCTTAGGATTAATCATCAGGCCAGTACGCTTGTAACTTCAACATGTAGGCCTACATGTACATGTACATGTGTACATATACCGGTAGATCTGTGTAGATCTGTCATCACACACACGTATCGGACATGATCGCGGATTAACCACATGAATCATCCAACTCTCTGGAGTTTTCTCCTTTTTTGGGCAAGCTGTGCCCGGCGCTTTTAAAAGGAATGTTAGTTAAACATGTCAACATTCATGTGTTTTCTTGCATGCCCACGTGTTCACAAACTCATTCCTTCTTTTTTTAAGAATTGTAGGACAAAGCCACACTTTTTATATGCATTTTTGAATGATTTACCGTACTTCACTGAGTTTGTGTGGACCGAAAGTAAAAACAGACCATGTAAACATCTCGTAAATCAAAGAGAGAAACATTTTTAGTATGGTGGAAAAAAACATGGACAAGAAATGAATGAGTCATTTGTGAAACTGCAGTTTTACTAGCAAAGTGGGAATTGGCAACATTGGCCATGAAGGAGACTGAAACTCTGAAGGCTAATTTAAGTACATACTGTACATGTACATTTGTAGTGTATGTGGGTTTCTATGGCCGTAAGGTCATGAATGAAGGATAAACACATTTGACATGTGCAAGAGACATAAAATTTCTTACTGCAACTGCAAGGTCAAGTCAGAAATAAACCTGTTTCTCATCACCACCCACTTTCCTTTTTTTCCTGCCCACCTACTTCCTTCACAACCCCTCCCCCTCACAAATTCACAACTTTTGTTTTGTCTGTTTGTTTCCAGCAAAGTTGTAGCTCCATGCAAGTGTCCAATACTTTTGGACACAAAAGTATTAAAAAAATGAGTCAAGAAATTGGAAGAATCCATCTGTTTTCTTGGAAAAGCTCCCATCGTGGGGAGAAAAAAGAGTGCTGCCTCTTACATTTTTTTCAAAAAGCCAGGAGGATAAATTATTTTTTTTTAACTTGGGCTTTTTTTTAATAAAGGCTTTTTAAAGGTGCAGGCGCTAGGCAAGTTTAAGACTTAAAGTGCCCATCTGATGGACCTTTTTGAATAAATGTAATCCTTGAAAAGTAACTTTGTGTTCCATTCAACTTTATTTGTAATCTTCATATTGCCAAGGGCATTTTGGTGCCTTTTTAATTTTTTATGCCAAATGCAAATGTCCTTATTCATCAGAAAAATTGTGATCTCATTCAAGGACAGAAACATCGGTTTCACATCTGCCTCAGCACGAAAAGTCACCAGAATTTTGGGGGTTTCTGCTGTGGTTATTTTTTTTGCTGCTTTCAGTGGTTCATTGTTTCAGCATACATGCCAGGAAGACAGTGAGAAAACTCCACAAATGTTTTCAATAAGCAGAACTTGGGGTAGACGATTTGAAAAGAGAAAAACCCTCATCTGAAGGGCGTGTTCCTACAGTGACATCACAGCAACAGCGCCCTCAGTTGTCAGGAAAAGCACAAAACATTTAAAATGTTTCAAAAGTGCACTTTGCAAAGACCCCTTGAACTGTTTGACAGGCAGGTCCAAGGCCTATTATTTCTGACCTAGTTTTTCTTTTCAACTCGGCTCCTGTTCAGCCCCCCTGTGGGCACTATTGGTTTTGATCCCTATCTCTTCTGTAAATAATCGCAGGGAGCTGTGTTTCAAGAATTTTTTGGGCACATGCCCAGCGCTTCCTTTTTTTTCTGGGCAGTTTGTTTGGCGACGATTGACACCAGGAACAAGTGTCAAGAGTTTGGGACTAGGGATCAATGTTCTGTCCTGTTGCCAATTGCGATACTGTGCCAACCAGGAATCAACATTTCAAGCGAACCCAACCCTACCCTGAAAGGTGCCCTAGAATGCTGAAGTAAAGTTTGGAGCATTTATTTGCTGGCCACACCTCTTGTAATTTTCTCCAGTTCTGAACAAAAAGTGTCGGGAGAAATATGGCTATTTACCCTATAATCTACAGGCATGTTTAGTGCATGTGTTACAATGTACATCTTGTGAAAGTATGCAATGTGTTTAAAAATATGTTAATGGTTATGCTTATCCCAACATACGCATTGTGGTTTACAATACATGTTGGCCTACAATAATTCATAAACAAACGTTACAAGACACAAGGGTGGGAATCGAACCCACAACCCCCTGTTTACAAGGACAGACATCCTAATGACAGTTAAATACCACTGTCTGATGGTGGTGAGCCACCACTTCCAGGATTTGAACCAGCCGGTGATGCACTGGTCGGCTAATATGGTAAAGCAGAATGGTTTTGAACATCAGTTTACTCCAGTTATGCAGGAAGTTACGGAGGTCAATTATCTTGTCGACAAAATGTTGCATCACTAAACCAGATGTAACAAAAAAAATCCTTCCACCACAGGATACGACATCCAAAATACCGGTACATCAGTGTTCTCCAACATGTAGAACAAACCTGGCGCCCCGCCATGCTTTCTGCGGCGCCCGCCATGTTTAAAAAGTCCCCGCCAAGCTTTAAAATCCTGCCGCCAGGTTTAATTTTTTTGACTCTACAGTGTACATTTACAACTAAAATAATTGATTTCAGTTGTTTTTCCACACATTAACAATGTATTTCGATGTCATTACAAAAATATCCCAGCCCGATCGGGGTTGTCTTAAAATCTTGCTGAATCAATCACACGCACGGTACGGCCGGCCGTGCAAACACCAGCGATTCCCCATGCACTGTACGTACTATATACTATTAGGTATGCGCGATGTACAGTACACACTGACAACTGAATACCCAGCTCCGGAGTGTGCCGATACTTCAGGTAGCGACAACCCCGCCGCAAAAATATATATCTGTATTAGTACACACACACACACCAGCAGGAGTACGTACGGCAGATCTTACGTGCAGCCCACCGACTTTCTTTTTCTCAGTGCTTGCACGCGCGGTACACAATATAATACGCGTTTTTGTACGAGGCAAACGAGCTCGAGGGCATGACACGCGTGTACATGGTGTTCCGATCATGCCGATTGTCAAAAGTTATAAATGGCGAGCGTGTATGGGCCCGGTTCCCAAAGAGAACAAAATCCACTTTTAATTTATTTAACTTACCAAACTAGTTGGCGACATTTAAGAACATACAGGTAGGTCATAAATAGAGGGAAATTTGGGGGGAAAATGACGATGACAACGACAAAACGCAACATGAAAATAAAGATGACGATCGCACGGCACCGGCACCGGCACCACCCATAAAATCGCGTTAAAAAAAACGTAATTTGTATCCCATTTTGTTTTTCAAAATTACAAAAAGGTGTCATTTGATCTGAGAGAAGTCTGCTTTAGGTTGAAAAGCAAATTTTTGAATGCTAAAAAAATCGGGGGAACTGGCCTGGAGAATCGCCTCAGATTGCACCACAGAGCATCTAGAATCCAAATTTTCCCGGGGCCCTTAAGCGGGCCCCGGACCCCACGCCGTAAGGGCTTCGCGCTCCGCGCTCGCAGGAGTCCCCGCCGACCCCAGCGCCAACCTTTAATTTTCAAAGTTGGAGAACACTGGTACATGTATGGGGTTGACTGTATTGCAAGATTTGTCTGCTGTCAAGATTTGTAAAAAAACTGTCCACATTACTCAGAGGATATACCAGTGTATGGGCTCCGTGCGTAAACAAAAGAGGGCGCCCTTTTACCTAGCAACGACGTCCCATGGGCGCGGCGGGACGCATACATTTCGCTGGTTGATGCGCACGCACCGTTCCTTAATTGTGTGCGGACGCACCTACACCAGGGGATTGGTACTCGCAGTGGCCGCGCTTCGCGGCAAAATATTGCAGTCAGGCAAGATGGCGTGGTTCGGTCACTCCCAACTGTACTTTCATTGCCGGTGAGGGGATACTTGTGAACGAAGCGGATACTGGGCCTTGACAAAGAATGCATGTTGGTACGTAGATCTAAGCTTTTGGGATGTGGGACACTCCCCACCCCCCCCCCCCCCCCCCCCAAATTTTTTTTGATGTTCTACTACATTTCCAATGTGAGTGAAATATAGCTCTAAAACTATATTCAGTCCAAGATGATACTATACAGATTAAATGTTCCAAATGTTGAGTGTCCAACTACATGTAGTTTTGTGTACATGCATACCTGTACATGTACATGTGTTTTTTGGAGAGAAAACTGAAGGGGAGCATTGGAGTTTTTCCATTCAAAAATAACTTTGAGATTTTGAGGAAAGAGTAAATTTGAGAAAGGGGATGGGAAAGGTTGAAGGCGAGGCATGGCTTCTTTCTCGTGTTACTCACCCATTTCGGCCGACCGTTCTGAACTTTCTCAGGAGTCTCCTGTGCTGGAGTTTCCTGTGCTGGAGTTTCCTGAGCTGGAGTTTCCTTAGCTGGAGTTTCTGGAGCTGGAGTTTCTGGAGCTGGAGTCTCTTGAGCTGGAGTTTCCTGTGCTGGAGTTTCCTGTGCTGAATTTTCCTGTGTTGGAACCTCCTGAGTTGGAGATTCTTGAGCTGGCTTCTCAGACAGCGTCTCGGCTGTCTCGCCAGTCGTCTCCACCATTACATCCCCAGCTGGTACTTCGTTATTCTCCGACATGTTGTATTTAAGTGCGGACACCAGGGAATTTGCTGTACAATTTTTAAAAAGCTGATTCAAAATCCCACAGGAACGGGAAGAGCCAAATATGTTCAATCCTCTGACGAGTTGCTCAAAGAACAAAACTTCTCGGAAATTGAAAAGCTGCTACTCCAGTCAGAAATGATCAAGTTGAAGGAGACTGATTCCAGTTTGAAAGTCTCATAAACCTTATATACATGTAAAGGTGATCAATTGTCGAAAGTATGAGTGGTATTCCGAAGATGAAGCTGGCCGCGTTGGTGAAATTGAAGCGAAGGATGTAACTATAACCCCAGTGATGGCGCGGAATGTCGAAGATGGAAGCGTAGAATGTTGGCAAAAGATCAGAGGTCAAAGTTCAGGGAGTCGAGTTACAGGTATGTCGCTCCTTCCTATTGATGATATCAATGGACGGTTTACTGCCGGGCGCTACAGCTTGAGATCTGTTGCCAGGAACAAACTGTAATTCATAAGAGTAATCTCCAGAGATAAGATGCCTTGGTGGTCAAGTGGGGATGATTTTAATCAAAATCCGGTTGCCGTGGGAGCAAAAATCTTGCCCACTGAAATCGCAGGAAGAAAAGTGTACCAGTATTTTTAGCATTATTTTAAAAAAACTTGAAATAAAAAAAGCTCTCTCTCTGATTGGACATGACAAAGTGGCTTTCTCTAAAGGCAATTCCAACGCTGTCAAAGGAAGTGTAATGTCAGTGACAGAGCCAATTAGCCACGATATCTAATTATTGATTCAGCGCAATGATCCAAAACTCCTAGTCTGTAATCTCCTTGACGATTAACCAATGACGGATGTGTATGTAAAGATTTGAAGAAAACAAAAAGCAGCATTTTCGGGTTTATTCACTGAGCTCTTAAAAGCTCTGTCACAGACATTACAACTGCTGCACTGCAAATCAGCAAAAAAACCCGGTAAGTTTCTCTCGTCAATTCCTGGTTGAAAATCTTCTCCACGTGGTGAAACAATCACAAAATTAAAATTGTCCTTTCCCAAAGTCATTGCCTTTCGACCTTACATTATGCGTGTTGAAACTCGGGTATCGCATTCCACACTCAATTTGTTTGAAAGGTCAGTGAAAATCTAACTGCTCTCTCGACTTCCTCGTACTAGTACACGCACACATGTATTCCGATCTTTTCCTGAACAGTTTTATTTTCAAAAGGACAGATCAGTAGGTTACAGTGCTTTTTGTTATCGCATGTCGCTGGCGCACGGAATTGTACAAACTGTGAAAAAGAATTTCTAAAGGTGCAGTGTAACTCAGGATAAGGAAATGCACATACATTTAGTACATACCCACAAATACATGTACAGATCAAACCAAACAGTAATTTTATATTTGAACTGGTGTACTTTCAGTCAACTCAAAATGTATTAATGGTGTGTGCAATCAGTTTTTACACTGTAGGTACACACGTACAGTATGTCTTTATGCACTAATCTGGGCACATACACAAAAATGATCACTGCACTCACGAGCCCCGTTCAATGGAGAAACCATTGTGCACGCTATTGTACGAAGCAACAGCCCCGTGATGGATTGTCTGTACAATAGCTAGCACAATGCTTTTCGCCATTGATGGGGGCCTCCGTGATAAAAGTGACAGCGTGCTGGATTGGTCTGTTTACATGTACATTGTGCACACTGTGGTACGGGAAACTTCGCGCTCTCGTGTGCACTATGCAGCAGCCCAATGTTGTAAATTTTTTGATTCCAATTTGGTCTGAAAAGTACCAGGAAATCGGACAACATTTGTTGAGAGCGCTTGTTGCTTTCACCATAATGACCATTTAACATTTTGATAAGTGAATACTCAATCATAAGGTAATATATTGTTTTATCTGTACTATTATTCAATGATTCACATTTCGAGTTAAGTCAGTGTTATAAACTAGTGGATACCGTTTGAACAGTAGAAGCCAAAACAAATTTGGTTTATCGAGAGAGCGATAATGGAGAGAAAGTTTTTAAAGAGTGCTTAACTTGAAAGTCGATTTTACATTTTTACAAAATTTCAACCAGGAATGAGAATCACTTGCTGACACTCATTACTCACATCTGTGAGTCGAGTCAGTTCAGCGTACGAGTGACAAAACCGAAAGTCGGTGCCAATCAAGACACAAATCCGATTTTAAAAGGCTCGCATGAAAACACTTTTTGAAAGATATGCAGGTAGTATTACACGTGTAGATAGGTAGATACCTTACGCATAAAAACTATAGAATGATGACCACAGCCAAAGCATCCGCGGAAATCAAGTTGTCGGAACGACCCAAGCGAAACCAACGGATGAAAAGAAATGAACTAATAATATAAATCCCGAACTCTGGAGGTGTAGCAATTGGAAGACGGTACTCACAGAAATGAAGCTTTGTCGTTCAGTGGGACTCGCAAACCATTGTCAATTGATACCACTAGGCAGTCCACTGGCCACTTCCTAACGAAATTCACATACCATCTGTACTACTGTCCCTGTACATGTACGTGACTTTTCCTTGGGCCACACAATGCTACCACTGTTGGGGATGGCCCCACCACATGCATACCCTGCCACACCACACATAGGGGGAAACCTTGAGACCAGTCCATTTTAACCACAGGGGGGATGTGGCCGCGACCGTGGGTGAGGGTTTTTTGTTGAACATTCTGTTCAAGTTTGATGGAGACTGAAGTTGGAGAATAAACACAATCTGCTTTGAAAACCTTTCAGGAAAAACAGTCAAGGCTTTTTTCACCAGAAAAACCTTTGTTGGGTTGGAATAACCTCTGTCGGGTATAAAGACACCATCAAGCATGAGGCTAAGTTTTTGCCGGACGGCGGGTGAATAATCATGAGTAACTGGCTGGCATCCATGTAATGAATAAAAAAAAAAAAATCAGTTGAAGTTTCTGTGAATGGGTGAGTAAGGGATGTAGGAATGCTGACGTCTTCTTCAGAGGGGCCGCGGTCCGGACTGTCTGCAAAAATGTATCCACGGTATGGTTCCAATTAAAGATTCTCATCCAAATGCCATCTGCGACCAAAGCTGATGACACGGGGTACTAGTTCTTGCAACTGTCAACATAGCGGAATCTGCCCACAATATATGAGCATTTAAATCATTTTCCGAAACCACAAAATATTCAAATTACACAAGTTTGTACATATAGGGCCTACATGTTCATACATGTAAATCTTTATCTTCAAGCAAAATTGAATCCTCCATCCTGATTGGTTGATCCATGGCAACAACAGTGTGATATCTTCAGCCACACATACACACTACATTATTCAGTGTTTCATCTGCATTCGTGGAATAACTGTACATAAACTACAGGCTACAGTGTAACTTCCAACAAAGCATTATGCAGACATTTCAAGCAGCCAAAAGTCGGGGTTGGAATTAATTTTGCTAAAAGTTACTTGGAGTGATTGTCAACATTCCATTGTGGTTATTCTACCATGTGTCCCATCAAGGAAAGTCGTTCATTAATTAAGTAAATCTAGCAATGTAATTCTTCCGTGCGACCCAGTTGACCCTGTAAAACTTACCACTGCGGACAGTAAAACTCGGCACTTGACAATTTGGGAAGTTTAACGGCTGTCCGCACTGGACTTAATTAGGTTAAGTTGACAATAGTCTCCGTTAGTTTTATCCTCCCTAACAGTCCATTGCTAAGACGGCTTAAAGGGAATGTACATCATTGGCTTTTGCTGTAATTTTCAGAAATGAACTATTTGAGGTGTTAGCATTTTAGATGAAATATTGTTAAACTGACATGTTTGAAGTTTTGTGTTCGAAAATGCTGGAAAAACCAAGAAAAACAAAAATGTTCAAATAGTCTGGTTCCCTGACTCCACTAAATATGAAATGGATCAATTTACAGATGCCGGAAAATTGTAATGTAAGGAAACCAGTCTAGCTGGCCTGCCTGCACCCATTCATGAACATGTAACCAATAGCAAACAAAATGTGGACTGAAAAAGGTACATTTGGCGCAGTAGTTGAAAAATAGTTAGGTTTTTCCAACGGTGGTCGGCCGACCACTGTTGGAAATTTACACAAAAATACCACTTTTCTTGAAAATGACTTCACACCAGGTGCCATAATTTAACAGGATGCTTTAGACTGTCGTTTACCAACATCCTAGTAAGGTATTTCGTACAAACTTGGTAGTTTTGTTTTTCGATGTTTGCAAATGTTGTATATTCCCTTTAATTTGAAAACAGCAGTTATGGATTGCTTATCTGCCCTTATGAAAACAAACGAACAAAGCACCTAGTAGGATATATATGTTCATTTACTTGCTAGCACTCAGTTGGTAGTGCACCGGTACTGCGATCCAGAGGACCCAGGTTCAAAGCCTGCTTGGACAATCTGGTTTGCTCAATGCAAGTTACAATGACTGATTTAAATGTTAAAAACAAAATGGGCACTTGAATATTGAAACATTTGTTGCTGTCTCTTCCTTCCTCCATGATGTACGTGTTCATCTTTTCAAACCGTAGATGAAAAATACCAGAGAACGAAAGAGAACAATATCGTCCACGATTCCCAGCATACGTCCGTGACATGGGGTCGTGTACAAAACATATGGGAGTCTTGCTAAAAAGTTAAAGTACAAACAAAAGAGGGACAATAGGATGCCCACGATCGACGGTGAACACACGTTTGCGTGTACGGTATATGTGCAAATAGAATTTAACCATGCTCGTGTTCACAACACTATGTGACAAAACTCCCTAAAATACATACATGTACATTTTAAATAAACAAAATATTAGGCCTAAAGGCTAAACAAATAATAACAAAACCCTGAAATAAACCCAGTTTCATCTTGTTTGTGAATACCAGTATGTACCAGTATGGGTGTACACACATGGGTGTACATAGTATGTTATATAGCTAGATCTTCATTCCTGTGAAAACTCAAAATTTGTACACGTACTGGCATATATGTAGGCTATGTGTACAGGCAAATTTAAGTAAATATAGCCATGTACTTGAACTATTTATAGTGTCACAATTTTCAGAATTTCTATTTCATTACTGTACATCTGTGCGCGGTGACAATTGATCGAAAGTGACCTTTGTATGTTGGGTGTGGTTCAATGATGTCAGAGAGTGGTCAACAATTGTTGTCAAGTATGTTACGCAAATATACATTGTACATGTATTTAAGCACAAGTTACGTGTACTTCATTATTATTTGTTAAATATTAACAAAAATATCAAAGACCACCCAAGTTGATACTTGTATTTAAAAAACCCATGAGTTACATTTACTATTCAGTTTATTCTACAGTAATTGAATACCAATAACATTGACTAATATGCACCCTCCATCCAATGACTATAATGCATTGCCTGGATAATGCATATCAGCACTTAGCCAATAAATAAACCACCCCTCCTGGATAATGATACTGCCCACTACCAAATAAGGCTTGCACACAATGCCTCCATTCAACTGCATCCACCACATTATCTTAAAGGGGTGTGCAGTGAATCACTTAATGAGGGGCATATGTTTAAGGCACTATGAGGTGGAGAATATGAGTGCACACGCTGGGCCCATCAAAACATGGAGGGGAGGGGTGTCAAAATAAAAGGGGGAGGGGGAGAACAGCGTTTTGCTGATATCACTGTCAGGAAATAAAGACAGGGGAAACTGATCTCTGAAGGAACAGGGAAGTTCCTGCTCTGTGGTAAAATGATCTGATGTTTAAAGGGCAACATTGACAGCTATAGTATAGGGGTTGTACCGGGTATCATGGATATATGTATAAACCAGTACTCATGTCTGTTCGTAGAGAATATCAAATTATGCGAAAATGAACAGCTCTAGGCCATTGTTCTAGCTCTATATGCTTCAATTCAACCTAGGGGAGAGGCAGGGACTGTCGTACAGACCTGAACCCGTACTGTACGTACAATGTACATGTATACCATAGAGCTACCTAAATTACATGTACACAGTAATGCCTGCTGGGCGCATCCATGTTTGTACACAAACCTATGGAGAACTAGAAATTGTTTACGTATATTTTCATATCTGCGTTTGTATTCCATGCAGTGCGTCATTGAAGCCGATATGCCCAAAACCGAAACGCACGATCACCAAATGAGCGTGTTATTTTGCTGTACGCAAACAGCGCAACGCGTGCGCGTCCCTCCGCTGCAGATGCTTTTCGCTGTGGCGTTTTTTGAACTGTCATGACGCGCTTAAGTTGTTTGCGTATCTCCTACTTGCGCGTTGCATTTAGAGTACACTTTTAAAATTCAATCCATCTATTTTGATTGTGTTCTACAAACACGAACATCAATTCAAAATGTCTGCGCCCAGAGCGGCTTCAAAGCGTCTCCACGCACTAGAATGAAGAGTTAGCGCTCTATTAATTTATTATAGCTCTATGACATACTGTGCAATATCCAAAGACAACCTCTCAGTAGACCATCAAAGCAGGTTTTCAAATTAGAATTTTGTTATTATGGTTTCTAAGTGACATTCGTTTACATTTCAAAAGCAGCCTACTGTACAACGTGTTCAAAAGATGCCCAGACGCCCCGCTGGCTCAAGACCTTGCCCTGGGCTGAATAACAACTCGTAAACAATCAACAACAAACTATTCATAATCTAGACAGGTATTGTTATTGTTTGTATGTGGTGTGGCCTTTGTTTGCTCTTTGACAGCCTGGCAGGTTTTGGCTTCAATAAGGAGTTGAAAGACTTTGCTCCAGACTTTCTCTGAGGCAGGGATTATACTTGAAGTGTACTTTGCATAAATACACAACTTTAAAGGCAGAGTATCACTTGTCATTTGAGCATTTGTTTTGTTTTGTTTGAAGTAACAAAAGTGATCAAAATCTAAAGATGGGTGCTTTAAACAACTACCGGTAACTTGATGAATTTTAAGCTCTGTGAATGTTGTATATTCTGAGAAAACAATATCTTTGGATCTTGATTTTAGTTCAAAAGTTGCCGAGACATGTTTTGAATTGTGCCCAAAATCAGCGTCTGGGACACGTCTCATGCAGCCGATTGCAGCTACGCGATGTCACAAACCGACAAATTATAGCAACCGAGCGTGCATTTGCATTGTGTCAACACTTGCGCACACCCATTCACGGATTCACCCAATTACAAACCAAGTACCGGTAAATGCGTGTACTAACGGACATTTCAAAAAAAGCGTCACTTGACTTGTCTTTGAAAATGACCTTTTTTTGTTTATTTCAAAATGACAGCATGCCAGAATGAATCATTTCGCCCGCTCTTGTTCATGCACGGAGCCCAGGTAAAGCTGTCACAAAGTTCCTGAATTGTCTAAAATCCTTCACTGTATATGAACCCTTCAGCGTTTCTCTTGCAAGCAATGTCAGTGTTGCTTTCAAGTTGCAAGGTAAATAAACAAATGATTTTTTTCTACTGTCGTAATTAAAAAGGGAGAAAAAAGTTTTGCACACGAAATTTTGCTTTGAACTACAAATAAAAATGATATATGTAAGTTACTAGTGGAAAACAAACATGTTAAAGGGAATG